CTGTGGCCATAGGCAGAGAAGTTTTATCCCAATTGGTTGCAGTGGAGTGAGCAGTGTACTAATTGCGACCTCAGTTTGTTTCTCTTCCTGGGTCATAGTCAAGGACAGCAACAGGGGGTCCTGATGGGAAGGGAGTGGAATCCCAAAATGGCATCCTAAGAAAGAACTCCAAGAGTTCAGAGAAGTAGGATGTGAAACATAGCTATTGCCTGTGACTGTCAAAGGTGGGGGAGAAGGGAGATTTTTTTTTACAAGTGCATGGGTGCACCAACACACACATGTGTGCCCATGTGCATCCTGGGTTTTCTGCACCCCACTGTTCAGCCCTTAACTTCCTGTAACCAGGAAAAAAGGTGCCGATAATGCCTTGTCTCTTCTCTTTCTCTCTCCTAATCTTTTAATCTTTCTGTTCTATTATTCTTTTCACCTCTTCCACTCTCCACTTTCACAAAGGACTTGAGGTGTCTTGCAAAATAAACAATTACAGGTGTTTAAGTTAAGGCTGAAAAAAAGTTAAGAAATTTTTTAGAGGAAAGGGGGTGCCAGCAATGATGTAACTGTGGCAATTGAGCACCGGATCTGACCGAGCTTCCCGGCAGCCAAGGCAACGAGGGATTAGGTAGTGGTTTTCAAAGTTCCTGTTTTTCAATCAGAGACAAGTTAACCGTTCATCGGGAGGAAAAAAGTTTTTCCTGGTAATGAACTATAAGAGGGATTGATAAAGAATTTGAATATTCGAATGAGCATATGGGCGGGGGGAGGAGACTAAAAAAAAAAAAAAAGTGTTTTGTATGGCTGTTTCTTTTCATTGCCTCAGACCAATGTTGAATGGCTGATGTTCAGTGAAGGTACTTTGCCTGGGCTTTCACTAATGCTATACAAGGGCCATTGCTTTCCGGTCACCTGACTTGAGGAGAAGTAGAGGCAGAAGGTTTCTGTATCACTGGAGCTGCTGTGGAAACACTCCCTAGTTAATGTTTTGCTGTTGTGGCTAATGGCATGCTAATGGATCACACATTAACTCATTCAACAGGCTCTTAGCAGGCTCTAGGGATGTTTCATGTTCCTCCAGGCACCCCAGAGGAGGATAGAGAAATATATATGGTGAGATAATGGAGATCTGGGCAAAACACAGGCAAGTCTGGAAGCACAGACAAGGGAGTCACGATTGCTTTGTGGGGGTGTGGGGCCCAGGAATGGCTTCGTGGAGGAAGTGGCATTTGAGCTGGGTCTTGTGGACAGTGTAGGAGTTCAATGTCTGATAGGCCCTCCGGGCAGAGATAGGACTGTGCCCGGGGTGGCTGAGGAGCAGCCTGTGAAGTGAAGTTTCAGGGAGCCCAGGAGACTGGGGAGAATGCAGTTGCCTTTAACAGTCCCAAGCAGTGCAGCAGGATAGACACTGATGAGGGAATAATCACAGGCCCAAATTAAATGGCAGCATCCTCTGACGCCTGCAGGAGCGGAAGAAGAGCTGTGGGTCCCACCAAAGAAACTGCCACTCAGGCTGGGCTCTGGGCAGCCCTGTGAGGGGGTGGCAGTGGGAGCCGCGGACAGAAAAAGGCAGCGAGGGCTGGCTTGCAGGTCCTGCTGAGCCTCGAGCCCCAGTTCTCAGGAAGACCACTTTACCTTCCGGCAGCCGATAGGATTGTCGGACCTCCTGCCTCCCGTGTAGCACAAGTTGAAGACTGTATCTTGAAAAGATGATCCAAACTCCCGGAAAAACTTTGATAGTGAGGTTGTTGACGAAAACAAAATTACTAAATAGCGCAAAGGCCCTCCATGTGGACATTAAAGAAATGAAAGGCAGGATGTCTCTAATGGCTAATCTCTTGTCATCTTCTCAAACCCGGGATGGCTCTGCTCTTTTGGGAGAAAATAACTTTCTCTTGTGGACTCAGATGTTTGGCCGGGAGTCAGGAAGGGAAAAAGTCGGGAGAGGAGTAACGTATAGAGTTGTGCCTCTGGGGAGGGTGCAGCGTTGCTGACTTGGCTGAGATGCTGCCTGGTCCTCCAAAGACACCATCGAGGAAAAGACCCTTTTCAGAGGCATTTTGATCTCCTGTCTTTGCACACAGAAATGAACTGGAAGAGCTGCTTCCGGCGAGCTTTATTTCCAAGATTCACCTTAGCAAATGGGAAGGCTCACGCCAAGACCAAGTCCCATCCTATGTGTGCAGGGGGACGGACCACAGCAACCTTTCCCAAGCAGCTCCCCGCTGCATGGAGTGAAGACTGTGCTGGTTGTGCCCTTTATAGCAAAACTATATTTTCACCTCCACCTGGTCTATACACATCCACTTCTGTGTGGAACAAAGATTCACAAACAGAATCTGTGTGTGAGACCCTTGGATATTCCCAGGTCCAGTCCATTCTGATTCCATGGGTTAAGCTGTTGGTATTAGCAAGTTGATTCCATATCTGTTAAAGGGCCAGGGCCTTATTGTAGTGTGAAAATGATTAGGGTGATGGTCAGGACCTTCGAGTCAGGTGGACCTGCGTTTGAATCCTGTCTTTGACACCGGGAAGCTGTGTGACTTTGCAAGCATCATTCCCTTAGGACACTGGCTGGAATTGCCAGTCCTCTCCCTGGGCCTGTGGGACACGTTAGGATCACACTTTCCCCTCTGTAACAGAAGTCTCAGTGTCTTTGTCTGTAAAATGGGTGTGACATAGAAACTACTGCATGGAGTAACTGCAAGGATTGAATGGGACGACACAGGTCAAGATCCTACACAGAGTAAGTGGTTGATAAATGTGAGCTTTTTACATGGTTGTGAAGGTTATGCCCTGACACCACTTGTCAGGGTCAACAGAGCTCCCGCCTCTTGGGGAATGGCAGTCAGGGAGGACTTCCTGGCAGAGGAGGCGTTGGAGTAGGTCAGCGAGATGATCGGGAGCCACTGCTGTCCTCACAGTGACCGAGGACACTGTGTGAGCATCCCCGGGCCACATGTTTCCTTTTTCATGAAGGACAGTCTTGGTCCGAAGATTTTTGGCTGGACCTAGAGCTGGCCACGTTCGAGGCTTTCTGCCTCCCACATTCAGTTCTCTAATCCACCCAGCATTGATTTTTGTGTCTGGTGTAAAGTAAAGATCCAATTTCTTTTCCCCTCCTCGTTTCTGAATGGATGGCAGCTACCCCGCACTGTTTTCCAGACAGAGCATCCTCCCGCTGATTTGTGTCTCTCGGCTCTCATATATCAGCGTTCCACCTGAGCACGGATCAGTTTCTGGACTCGCCTCTGTGTCATTGGTCTGTTCAGCTGTCCCCGTGCCAGTCCCCTACGGTCTTAATTACTGCAGCTTTCTAGCGATTCCTGATGTTGGGGATGCGTGTCCCTATCTTGTCCTTCTCCCCTTAGAAGCATCCGGGCCGGCTTCAGGCCTCTGCTCCTCTCTGCGTGTCAGAGTCAGCCTGCGTGGGAGATGACCCTCGGACCTGGGATCACGGGACGAGCTGTCCTCAGCGAGACTCCTCCTCAGGGGCTGTGCCTGCAGCGCCTCCAGCACTCACAGCTGCTATCCTCCCTGCTTGGCCTGGGAGCGGCCCTTGAAGCACTTTCTGATTTTTAAAAATATATATATATATTATTGATTTTTTACAGAAAGGAAGGGAGAGAAAGATAGACAGAGAGCTAGAAACATCAATGAGAGAGAAACATTTACCACCAGCTGTCTCCTGCACCACCACTCCCCCCCCCCCACCCCAAGGATGTGCCCGCAACCAAGGTACATGCCCTTGCCCGGAATCAAACCTGGGACCTTTCAGTCCACAGACCGACACTCTATCCACTGAGCTAAACCGGTTTCAGCACTTTCTAATTTATTTGCAGAGAAAAGCGCCAGGAATGTGCCCGAGTCCGGATCCCCGCTGCCTAGAGGCTCCTCCGTTTCCCTCCCAGTGGCTCAGTCTCGTCATCCTAACAGGGTCCTTTCAGAGCTGCTTGCTTCCCTGCCCCTGTCTGCCAAGGACATCATTCCGGACAAACAGGGATGTGTCTTCCACGGACAATGCCAGCGTCCTGGAGGGAACTCCCCGCGCCAGGGCTTGGCGTGTACCGTTAGATTCCTTGGCTTAGGTGGTTGCAAACGTTTGCTTGACCTGAGAACGGGCCGGGGGCTGGGCGGGAAGGACCTGCCACTCATGCTTATAATCCAGTCCGCTCTCGAATGGGAAGACCCAGGTGGCATCCTCGCCGCTGCCTCCGGAGACCGTTCTGACGGCAGCTTGGATGCCAAGGAAATGACTCATGGCCAGCTTGCCTCCCGTGACATGGCTTAAAGGCAGGAGCGTGACCCGTGGGCCAGAGGCACACGGTTGGCCCGGACTTGGAAAACCAGATTGCATGCGCCTCGCCGTTTTCAGCCTACAGGTGTTGACAAGGCTCCCGGAACTCCCAAACACGCACCAAACTGTCAGCGGGTGTGATGTGTTGAATTGGGGATGAGAGGTTCTGGTGAACCATCCGCTGCCCCGGGTCTTTGCCCTGTTGCCCTGGGGCAGAGCCCTCCTCCCCTTGGGCCTCGGTTTACGCGTGAGAAGTGAGGGCTTGGATGGGAAGATGCCCCAAATTTGTGAATCTTTCTCCTGATTCTAAGAGCACAGAATCAGAAACGGCTCCTTCCAGCCTCTGGGCAACAAGGCTCTTATCTCTGCCTTGTTTCTCTCCCTCTCCACATCAAAGGTGGTGGTCTCTGGCGGCGGGGGCTGGGCGAGGGAAGCCCGCAGGCCGCAGAGGAGCTGGGTTCGAATTCTTATGAAGCTGCACTGAGTCCTGCCCACCTCGTCAGCTGGGTAGGATTGCTGGTTCTGGACGCGGTCTTGTTCTGTTGAGCCGAACTTGCCCTCTCAACACCTGGGCGTTCGTGAGTCCCCTGGAAGCCTTGGCGCTGGCCTGGCAGCCCAGTGAGGTGGCTGAGCCCAGGAGATGGCAGTGGCATTTGGCTGGGGTGCTTGGAGTCTTGATGCTGAGTCACCTCTGTTTTGTCATCTCTTTCAGACCCCTGAGTACTCAGCCATGGCCTCCCTGGCTGGAGGGCTGGACGACATGAAGGCCAACCTGACCAGCCCCACCCCTGCCGACATCGGGAGCAGTGTGCCTGGGCCGCAGACCTACCCCATCGTGACAGGTGAGGGCATGTGGGGGGTGTGTGGTGAGGAGGGGGAGGAGTGGGATAAATGGTGGGGAGAAAGAGAGAGAGAAAGGGAGAGATTGAGAATGCCTGTGTGGTGGGAAGAATGGCTGCTTGGTGCTGTTGGACTTGACTGGTCATTTTTGTTTTAATGAGGTTCTGAGGTCCTGGAAAAGGTCAGGCAGGAGACTGCTCGGGCCAAGGTCGTGGCTGTGATGAGACATGGCTGTAGACTGCTCGGGTGAAGCCGGGGGAGAGAAAATGCCTCCTGGACGGGGCTGGGAGGGGTGGCAGGGAAGCCTCGTGTCACCGGGCCTGGTGATTTCAGGACCCCCTGTGTGTGGGGAGCCGAGTGTTCAGAAGCCTGGGATTTATCCCCCACGTGCGCCGGGCAGCCCTGGTCGGCCCCAGCCTTGGGGGTGAGTGGGCCTCCTGGCAGATCGTGGCTGGCATTTCAGATTTCCAGGCAGAGGTCGAGTCAGGAAGGGCAGGAGGTGTAGGCTGAAGGTGCCTGGTGTATGCAAAGCAGCTGCCTCTCTGGCAGGCCTCGGGCCAGCCTCTCTAGCTGTCAGTGTAACGATGAAGAGCCTGGGCCCTGGAGGCCCACTGCTGGGGTTGAACTTGTCATTGACTAGCTGTGTAGTGTTGTGTAAATTATATAAGAATTATGGGCTGTGTGTGTGTGTGTGTGTGTTTTAAATCTCTACAATGGTGACAGTAGCTACCCCATAGTGTTGTGAGGATTAATGCATTAATACATATAAGGTGCTTAGACTTTATCTAGCATACATGTCGCTATTATTATTTCTCATGGTGGCTGGTCACCGCGGGGATTCCTGCTCAAAGGGGCTGGATAGGAGGGAGCCAGACACACGCCTCGGGAGCACGGGGTCGGACTCAGCTGCCAGCGCTGGGAGGTTGTCCAACCCGGCAGGCAGGAGGCAGTCTCGGATGCTGCACAGACAGACAGTGGGGGCTGGTGGCGGCGCTTGGGCCAGAGTCTTTGGGTCCAGCAGAGGTAGCAGGATGCCCCTGTAGGCTGGTAGGCAGGCCTCAGCTAGTAACAGAGACAGCCAAGAAAAAAACAAATGATTCTGTTAATGGCGTTAGGACAAGTGAGCCTGTTGGATCCATACTATACTTTCTATATCAAAATAAATTCCAAGTTGATCGAATTTTAAATGCAAAACAACAAAACCATAATAAAACTAAAGGGTAAAAAAGGGAAATATTTTTGAAATCTTAGCGTGGGGAAGGCTTTTTAAAATCTCTTTCAAATATGAGATAAAGAAAAATAATATAAATGGTTGTTTAAATAAATGTCTTTTGTATGTTTGGAAAAAGACAAAGAACAGAATTGTAGGGGGAAAAGTGAAACACAGATGAAAAAACACCAGTTTCCTTAATATCTAAAGGGATTTTTCGATCTGACTAAGAGAAAAATCAGTGGAAAAACAGATAAAGAATATAAACACGAAGTTCATTGGACAAGTGTGGAAAGATTAGAGGGCCCAGCGCACGAAATCGCATGAGACTCAGAGTCCCACGCCTCCGGGGGACCCATCAACGCCCCTCCGGGTGACCGGCTGTTTGGTCCCTCCAGCCACTGGCTTTTTATAATATAGACTAGAGGTCCGGTGCATGAGATTCGTGTATGGTGGGTGGGGTGTCCCTCAGCCCAGCCTGCACTCTCCAATCTGGGACCCCTTGAAGGATGTCTGACTGCCCATTTAGGCCTGAACTGCTTGCTTGCCTGCCTGCCTGATTGCCCTTAATCACTTCTGCCTGCCAGACACTTCATCCCCTAACCTCTCCCCTGTCAGCCTGGTCGCCCACAGCTGCCCTCCCCTGCAGGCCTGATTGCCCCCAACTGCCCTCTCCTGCGGGCCCTGTTACCTCTATCTGCCCTCCCCTGCAGGCCTGATTGCCCACAACTGCCCTCCCCTGAAGTCCTGGTTACCCCTAATTGCCCTCCCTTGCAGGCCTGGTATCTCCCAACTGTCCTCCCCTGATGGCTATCTTGTGGTGCCATTTTGTGTCCACATAGAGGCAGCCATCTTTGACCACATGGGGGTGGCCATCTTGTGTGTTGGAGTGATGGTCAATTTGCATATTACCTCTTTATTAATAGGATATGCACCTGACTTATAATTTTAAAACGGCAGCCCTAGCCAGTGTGATCAGTGGTTAGAGCACCAACCCAGGCACCAAATGGTCCATGGGTTTGATTTCTGGTCAAGGTCACATACCTAGGTTGCAGGTTTGATCCCCAACCCCAGTCAGGGCTTGTGCAGGAGGCAACCAATCCATGCGTCTCTCTAACATCCATGTTGTTCTCCCTCCCTCCCTCATTTCCTCTCTCCTTCCTTCCTCCCGTCCCACCCTCCCTCCCTTCTACACTTTTGAAAAATCAATGAAAAAAATATCCTCGGGTAAGGATTAACAAAAAATAACAATAAAACTGCAAATTAAGACAATCATGAGACATTTTTTAAAATTTATGAGCTTATCCGAATTTGAAATGTTTCTTGAGGTCTAGTATTAGAGGAATAGATATTTTCATACACTGTTATGGAGGGAAATTTGGCAATATCTATCAAAATTTGAAATTCCTACCCTCTTATCTAGAACTTTTATATGTACATTTAGGGCTTTATTTGACAGATTTATTTGCACAGATGCACAGTGATACCTACATCTGTTTATTAATTATATTTATTTATAATGGAAAACACAATGTCTATCAATAGGAGCTGATTAAATAAATGATGGTGCTTTCCAGAACAAAATACTACGAAACCATTAAAAATAACTATGTGGGGTATGGGATAGAAGGGGTCAATGGGGAAAAAAGGGGGCCATCTCTAATACATTCAACAATATGGATACATTAAAAATGTCTGGGTCCTCCTATTTCCCCCCTCTCTTTAAAAGAAATATGTTTTTATTGATTTCAGAGAGGAAGGGAGAGAGAGAGAGAGATAGAAACATCAACAATGAGAGAGAATCAACAATCGGCTGCCTCCTGCACACTCCTCACTGGGGACCAAGCCCACATCCCAGGCACATACCCTGACCAGGAATCGAATGGTGACCTCCTGGTTCATAGGTTGACACCCAGCCACAGAGCCATGCTGGCTAGGCTCTCCTGTTCCTCTTGCTGCATGCCCAGAATCACCACGAATGGAGACTTAGGCAGGAGTGTGGATGAAGGGACCCATACTGACTCATACTGTAAACCTGACTTTGCCCAGAGGGGAGCAGTCCTTGGCAAAGCTCCAGGTAAAACAGGGCACCCGTTCTGGCTGGCTTACACCGAAGTTGCCCTCCTAGAAAATTCAGTATACAGTAAGACCATGGAAATTGCAAGTTCACATTTATATGTAAATGAATCTCAGTTCTGGATTTAAATAATTATAAAAAGATTTCCCACCTACATGAATGTTTGGCAAGACAGGACAATAGTGTGGAATGAAGAAAAAACGATTGTGTGGGAGTCTTCCACTGTGAACCAGCAATGCCCCTCCATCATGTAAAAGCCCCCACAAACTTTCAAAACACCTTGTAGGGGGCAGCTGCTGACCGCAATGCAAAATGTTAGAAAGTCTTAAAGGAGTGCCCCAAGAGCTGTGAGGGTAGAGTGGACCTCCATGTCACCATGGGGCCTTCACTGAATTCCACCTGTGTTAGTGGATGTGCTGACCCAGTTCTGAACTCTTCAGGGGAGAGCGTGAATCTTCCTGGCCTCACCTTCTCCCAGCTCAGGGCTCTAGCTGGGGTGTGCCAGCCCCAGATCTGGGGAGGCGGTTGGGCAGGTGCTACTCCGTCCCAGTACTCACGCTCGGAGCTGACGAGGGAGGATCTCATTAGGGAACGAGTCTATTTCTCTCCACCGTCGATATGCCACATTAAATATTAAGTGAAACCCTTGCTCAACCAGCCAGGGCCACGGTTCAGAAACGGCTCACCATTTGCAAAGCGGTGACATGGCCAGCTGGTGCCTGCATTGTCAGCAGTTCGGGCCCTCCTGATTGGGACTGATCACCTGCAGTGTGCCCTGCCTCCCAGGGAGGATGTGAAGGGCCTTGGCAGTCTTGCCCCCAGCTGTGCCCACCTGACCCTTTGCCTGAGGGAACAAAGGAAAGGGCAGCCCGTGTCCTTGCAGGCCCCTCCCCTGAGGACCTTCTCCGCATCAGCAGGTTGGAATGGTGGGAGGAGTTTGGGAAGCCCTCACCTGGTGGATGCCCCAGGCCCTGGGGTCTGAGATGCCCCCTGGGCAATGTCTGCTCTAAGCAACAGAGACCATACATGGACAGCAAGTGAATACCCACAAAGACAGTCAGAATGACGGCCAGGTCTCTAAGACCACCAGCTCTGATTTGCTATCTCTCTGAGGTTCGATGTTTGGAGACTTATGACTGCAAATTTGGATATTTGGAAAACTCCATCCTCTTCAGCTTTTTTGTCTAAGCAATCGCTGAGGGCTGGAGGAAAGGGCTCTAGACCAGGAGTTAGAAGAATGGGTTTAAGGCTGTTCCCTGCCACCCGAACTGTTCTACCCTTCAGCAAATAGATTGTCCTCTCCGAGTCTCAGTTTTCCGAACCATGAAATGGGCATGGCAGTTTCTACCCCTCCGTACTCTTTTGGTCGTTTCGAGGCTGTACTGGGGCAGGAGGGGAGAGGGTTTAGAGCTGCCAAGGGGGCATCTGAGTGTGTGGGCAGTTACGGGAGAAGGAAATCAGCAGAGGGTCCAGGACTTCAGTGTTGGTGCCTGCGATCACAGACAGGCAGGATGGGAGGGTCATGGGATCCACAGCTCACTTCACAGGTGGAGAAACCCAGGCCCTGAGAGGGCAGGGGACCTCCAGGCCACGTCAGGGAGTGAGAGCTGGAACTGGGGCGAGCCCTGCCTGGGTTCCGGCCCTCACAGCCTGCGGCTGTTATGTGGTCAGATGGACCGGGACGTTCCTGATGAAATAAATGTCCAGAAGGCATG